TAACGATAGCAGAAAATAGCTATCGAAACGTCAAGGTAATTTTTCAAATTAATTTTTCTACTAATTGGAATTTTCTCTTACAGCTTGAGCCTAAGTGTGTCGCAGGATACCCTCTAGGTGATAGTTCTTGATTACTTTTTGATAAATAATTCGTTCTTATTGCGAAATAGAACCACTATTTATCAATCTGTAATAAAAGACGTGAGGAAATTCTGTCTTTTTTAAAGACAAACACTTTTGAGGCGAAATACCCAAAAAGAAGTTTGTAAAAAATGAATCCGCCTCAACAATATAGAACTTATCTAAGAAAAGTACTTGCAACTAATTTTTTTTAAACTAAACTATTATTAGTATTGTATAAACTAATATATAATATTTATACTACGCTTATTGGATTAGTTGTGACGTTTGTAGGTGTTCAAGTAAAGTGATTGTCGGAGAACTAAAATGATATTGTCTTGTCAGTTTTTTGTTCAATTTGTTCTGCTGTTTGTATATGTTGTCTTGTTCTATCCGATCCCTTTGCGACAATTATATGTCCGTAGTCTAAGAGAGGTCTGCAGATCGCTTTGCATATTTTTGTGGCTGTATTTGTGCTTTTGTATGTTAGTGAACGGTGTTTTGTTCTCTTTATCTGTTTTTCTGTGTGAAATTAAGTTTGTGGTCAATTGTGATTCCAAGTATTTTACGTCGTTTTTTTTCTGTCGTTTGGCCGTCTGCAATAATTATAGGGAAGTCAGCGTTAACTCTGTGGTTGGTGAGGGGATGATTTTTTCAAGCGTTTGATGTCCATGTATGAAACCATGACATTATATTTTTCGTTAGTGTTTAAAGTATTTGCGTCGCTTTTTCGGTAGTTTTGTGGTGCACAATAAGTGCGGTGTCGTCGGCAGGTTTTAATAAGTAAGCTGATTTATCTATTTGATTTTTGTGTAGGAAAAAGTGCGTGTGCTGTCGATTCGTAATTCCAGTTGTCTGCCCTCTCATCATCATCATCAGCCTATTCTGTCCACTGCTGGACAAAAGCCTCATATTTTGCCATTCTTTCCGGTCCTGTGTCATCATCATCCAATTTGCAGTGAGTTAGGCCTGGGCAACACTGCGTTGAGTTGCGTTTTTCAGTTGGTACCGCTCTCTGAGTTAATGAGTTTTAACTCATTGGTTAATGAGTTATAACTCATGGCCGATGACGAAATTAACTTCTACCAAAACAGCCATCAACATATTGATTTGCGCATACGATTGCTTCAAACTATTTGAAAAAAACTAAAAAATTTCAGAGCGATAAGTGTGGCGATTTTTCCAAATATTGATTATATGCTTGTGCTTTCTCTGGTCGTTTTTTGAGGAACCCTTAATTTTGTCAAAAAAAAACAAGATACCTTTGTTTCGATTTTGTCCCAAATTCAAAGGTAAAACGGGAATTCGAAAAAGACGATAAAGAAGACGATGACTTTTCTTGTAAAATCCATCTTTTAACTTTATTGCGTAAAAGACTGTCAGGTTGCCAGTATTTTACAGTAAAACGTTAGGAAAGCTAACTGTTCTGACAGAGTTTTGTTTAGAAATATTGACCTAAAAGTGAAGAAACCGGAATTTAAATAAACCAAATTATTCACAGCGACAAAATTGACGAGTTTTCCCAATAATTGATTATAAACTTTCACTTGTTCTGTTCGGGGAAATATTTATGGGAAAAATTGTACAAACAATTATTAGGGTTTTGTTCAAAATTTGCAGCTGCAAAAGGGTTCAGAAAAAAGTTTRAAAAGCTGTTCAAGAGYCGAGTGTTCCAATAAAATTTATTTTATAATTTTCACARCAAATACCTGAAAATTATCRGTATTTTAAGTACAACTGAAAAATRATGCGTTTTTTGCGTAGCAAGAATTGCTTAACAGRAMCTTTGCTAAAACTGGAATGAAATCTGAAAATCTGAAATTTTAAAGAAACTTGAAAAATATTCATAGCGATRCGGCTGGMGAATTTTCCAAAAAATTTTTTGGAAACTTTTGCTCTCTGGCCATTTTTTCACGATARTCTTAATTGCTTTCGGTAAAAAAMTGAATAAAATCATTTGGTTTTTGTGCCMAATTTGAAGCCGAAAAGGATTTTTTAAAGTTCTCTGCAAATCGATGAATGAGGCGAATTTTCTGGTAAAATCAATTCAGTCATTTTTGGCTGCAAATACCCCATTATTGTCAGAAAAGAATAAAATCCTCAGAAAAGTATATTTTTTTGCGTTTTTGATTAAAAACTTTTAGTTTTGTGATCGGTTTTTGCGAAAACCTTATTAGTTTTCGGGAAAAAACGGGATAAATTTAATTGCGTTTTTGTCCCGAATTCGACTCCGAAAAAAGTTTTTGTAAAATTCCTACAAAGCTATAAATATATCTTGTATATTTTCGCGTAAGATACATCCAGATCGTTGGTATTTTTAAGTAAAACTCTGCAAAATAGAGGGTTTTTGAGTAGAAATGAGTYAAARCWAAAAACCACGTTWTTWWAWCAAACTGCCATCAGAKGAATGGAAGTGATGAGTTTTCCAAATAATTTATWATAAACTTTCGCTTATTCAGTTCTTCTTTTGATAGAAAATTATTTGATTTTTGTCGCACATTCRAAGCTGGAAGGGRATTTTAAMTTTTTGCAAAGCGACTAAGAAGGCGGGTAAAGGGAGATTTTTCACTAAAAATGCCTTAAGATTGTCAGTATTTTTAATTGATTTTTTGAAAACTGAGCARAAGAGTAACTTTGCTAAAACWRAAAAAATTCTGAAATTTTGAAGAMACGTCTTTGTTGRSKCTGGGCCACRGGACCCGCCCAGTTCCACTTCATACGCAAAATTAATTAATATATAATAGTGGCGCAAATAAATTAATAGTGGCACTTCAATTTTGGAACCGTCTACACATATACGGTGATATTTTTATTAAAAAATGGGGAGCTAAGAATATTAAAATAAATCGCCCAGTATTTATTTTTTTATCTGATTATCTGAAATGTATTGAAAATTGTCGTTTGGGATTAGGTTTAACAGGAGCGGGCTATGAAATATATCACCTTTTCTCCTAATCATATAAAATACCATAAATAGTTACTTAAGGTGATGATATTTAAACTCGACACTAGATCGGCAAAAATTTGTCGCGGACAATTTTGGCAAAATTTCTGGATTCATTAATGATCACTTGTGTTTTATAAAGAAACTATTAAACTTAGTTTAATATCGAATAAAAAATTATTACCTGGCCTAGCAAAATGGGCAAAAATTCGTTATAGGTGATATGCTGTATCTCAGCGCTGACAATTCTTTTGCTCTCATAAAACAGAACCTCGTCAGTCCAGTGGCGATTTAAAGCGGCCAACGCAACAGCTACTCTGTTGTGCTCCCTCAAAATCGCCGAATGCAGTACGTTTAGCTGACAAGTGCTGCACGCTGATATATTAACCAATCCTGCATCGTATGTTCTTAATTTTTCCACACTATCGCGGGTGACTCCATATATGGCAGACCCTTCAAGGAACGACGAAGCCAAGTTGATTTGATTTCTGTATTCTGAAAGAAGAAAACATTTTTTTCATGAGCCCCTGGTGGAAAGTACTTACTTTCGTCACTGTTTTCGATTGCAAAAGCGTCACTTGTACCCATTACAAATTTTCTTCACCCCGTGTGGAAAGTAATAACTTTCGCCACGCACGCTGAGCTGACTGTCTTGACAACATTTTCAAAGCGTTTTTTTTTACACTTTTACTTTACTTTTCCCGTCTAGTTTCCACCGAGGATCAAGAAAAACAGTATACGGTACGCGAGACGAAAGTTGAAGGCTCTCCACTGCGCCCGAGGCGAAGCCAAAGGCTCTCGACTTCGTCTCGGGTGTCAAACGCAGTCGTTCGAAAAACTGCACTTCTCGCCCTTGTTTCAAAAGCTACTATAATTGTTTGTAACACTTTTAAACGGGCAATTTTTATCTAATCTTATTGTGGCATGCATTACTGAGGGGTTGAGCTTTTTTCAAACTTTAAAACATATTTCTCAGGTTACTTATAAAAATATTCAAATACCATTCAACCGGATCTAATTTTGTTTTGAATGCACGCCAACTATGCGAGATATTTCGCATATGAAATGTATGACTTTTTGATTTTGAAACAGAAATCTGTATTTTCAAAGTTGGATTTTCAACGGTTTGTATAAAACGGGGTTTGAATTTTTGAAATTGTTTTAGTAGCTCAGAAAAAAAAATTTCACTGAAAACTACCGTTCGTTTATCAAATTGGATAATTGTATTTAAATAATTAATAGCAAGTCACCGAAAATCGGATGCTATCATGTAAAAAGCAAAAATATATGGGCCTTATGATTTGAGGAAGAATGTCCTCAAGTAGTAGAGGTAAAGCGCTTTCAAAAACGCGCACTACATGTTATTGTCCATGTTCATGTCTAAGAAATATGGCCCAATAACTTCACTATTCCAAGTCAAACTTTTTGAAGATTATTATTTGATAAAAGGTTTTTCGAATAGCATAAGAGATTATTTTTGAAATTGTCGAAGCCATCGCTTGTAAATGTAACTTCGTCGTAACCGTTCATAATCTCAATTCGTACCGTAATCGTCTAATCGTCCCAGAATTGGCCTCATTTCCCTGCTCTAGTGAGATATTGATATAAAAAATGTTCTTAACAGAATTTTTAAATAATCTAATAAATTATATTGACTGCATAACGAGTGAAGCGATTGTACAATTTTTGTATTCCTGTTTCATATGATTCCTTATTATTTAGAGAATTCTTTCTTCAGTCTCCTTTCTTTAAATCTACCTTAGTAGTTCCTATCTTCAAAATATTGTAGAAAATATCGTTTCGGTTTTTCGTATGATAAAGCCTTTAAAAATGCCACCTGGTCTCTCCACTATTGGACTTACGATATTCACACGAGTCCAATTCAACAGCAGGTAAACTCCTCATATACTCCCAACACCGATTATCCTTCTGTAGCCGATAGCATTCTCCATGCGTAATCGCATCTCCTTTGCAACACTGATGATTCTTGAAGTTTGCTGTGCTAACCAAATCGTGATAGAGAAGCTCACTCCAGGCACCCAGCAGAGCAGTTACGGACTCATGTTTTCGGCTTGGAACTTGCTGAAGAATAGAGGATACATCTAGAGCATTGGGCAGCTCTTGTGTTGAAACGGACACTTTGGGTATCATTTTTCCTGAAAAAATCAACAAATGGTTAATAATGTAGTGTCACACTTCATGAAGAGTTGCTAAGATTATAAGAGTTGGAAATGTGTCGCAAAACTATGTAGTAGAAAATGCTGTTTGCAATTTTCTTTTATAATCTCTTTTTTACAAACTATTTGGTGCCTGGGAAAGTATCAAAGAAGCTTCAAAGTACAATGCTTGTTGTTTGTTTCAATTACGCCAATTTTTAATCACCCTGTATATTCTTAAATATATACTGCAAATTGCTTTCAATGCGCAAAGTTGGATTCGATTAAATTTTTGATTTGCATATCTAAATTTGCTTTAAATTCTTCAAATGCGGTCATTTGTCAGTCCGTTAAGACAGTCAGTAATAAGTTTCGTGCTTATTGCACCAGGATTATTGGTTAACATGTGATGAATCAATTACAGTTGCATAACTATGCATATCGTAGTTATTTAGCTTTATTGATGTTTACACATAATGTGCAATTGAATAATAATTAACATGAGCTCATAACTCACAATACAACAGGTTGCTAAATAGGCAAAGCACGTTAGGACCAATCCAATCAATTGATTTATTTTAATTTGAAATAATTTATCTGATTTATTTACTTATTTTAAAAAAATGTAATAAATAAATATCAAAAAATCAGTTTTTTTAAATGGCACCTACTGACTTTTTTGGCTGCGTTTGAATTATTGTAGATGGTTCCGATACAGATGCCAACAAAACATCCAATTGTCTTCTAAAATATAATAAGACCGATATAACTCGATTTACAGATTGTGATTTGTTTAATCGACACAATTAACATCTTTGGAATCAAACAAACACTTGAACGTTGAACAAAATTAAGGAAAGTACATGCATAAAAATAAAATTTCCTGGCGCCTCGATCACCGGAGCTTTCAGTTTTGGATTTCGCTTTGTGAGGAGACGTAAAAAACAGTTTATGAAAATACATATGACAAAGTAAATGAACTGAAGTGGAGCTCTTAATTTGAGAGAATTTGAAAATATTCATGGTCGGTCTGTTAGAAAAGCAACTTAAGTTGCTTTTCGAACTATTGAATAATTCGTCAGTCTGCAAACTTCGCTATGTTTGCATTGATAATCTTGGTTGAACTTTTGAAAATGTCCTTTTTTGTGGGACAATGGAGGATGGGGCGTCAGTTTAYAGAAACCACGTAAGAGGGGTTATTAATCYATAAACCCTTAACTTGAACTGCGTTTAGTTTTTCGAGAAACATTTAAAGTTGTATTCAGTTCTCTATTTCCTTTTCTTTCCAATCAAATTCCAWCTGAGTTTTAGATTTYAATCTTATTATTATCTATTTTATATTTTTATTTAGAAATTTATGTAATACTACASAYACTTTTTTTATTTTCAGGTGGTACAATGCAGCTTTCGATAAGTTTGTWKCAWTAMKTTGCCATTGGCAGRCAGAACGTTAAAACGTTGGGTGTGCTCCTGGYCWGGCCATTTAGATTTTGCGCTGTTTTCCACATTTAAWTAATGAAACAAATTATTTTTTGCTGAACGATTGATGGTAGRAATGTTCAGAGACTGGGATCCGTCCGAATAATTGCATTTTTATTGTTTATTGCATTATTGGAAGATGAAGAAGCACGTTAAAACGTGGCCAAACCACTCGGATTTTGCGCTGTGGTCCCAAATTTAAACAAATTCCTTTTTAAATAGAGATAGGCATTCGAGGCCATTCATTAATCCAGAGAAATGTTAATATATTTAATTTATTGTCTCTGAAAATGGTTCTTGGTTGGTCTTGAAAAATGAAAAAACTGCTTATTAAGTTACCACATTTCTGTAAATAACAAAGTTCCTTTAAAATTGTTTTAAAAAAATGCTATTTTATTACGAGCGACAAACTTACAACTTAACGTGTGAATACAGAATAAAAATCGTAGTTATAATAATAGTAAGTATACAATTTTCTTACCATCAGCATAGGTTGGTGGTAGCAATCTCAAGAACGGCGTTCCCCTATTGCCCCATCGGGAGTGTCTTACATTATTGCATTCCCCAGTTGCCATTCTATATTTACTAGGCGGACAAGCAATCTCATCTCCTAAACTGCAATTTATGGGTGGACTTTTTGAAGCTACGGGATCTCCTTCCCGGATAAAAGCATTTCTCACAATCTGCTTTATATCATCTGGTAATTTGTTGGTGTAAGAAAAGATGCTTTTTTCGGTTTGTCGCCCATCTGATTGAACAGCGGTGAGCAAAGGAAGAAACCATATGAGCCACAATACTTCACACCTATAAAACAAAATAACCGTTAAAAGGTGCGCAAAAAATATGTTCGGAATAAACGATCGGTATATTACAACAATAAATGCAAATCAATAGCACAATAGCAAAAGAAACAAAACAAAAACAGTCCCTTCAGCAAAGGGTGCAAATATTTGGAGAAAACAGCACTTACGTAAGTGCTATTATTGGTCATGGCATTGAGACGAAAAGCCAATGAATTATTCTTCCATCTCCAATCAATGTATTCCTAAAGGTTACAAATTAATAAAGTTGTTTTCATGTTGATATCTGAGTAATATGATATTATTTATTTCAATCATCATCAGCATTGAACTGGGAACAATAACTTGATGTTACAATGCATAATCGAAGTGCAAGTCACCGGGGACAAAATATTAAGAGAAGCAAAGAATATTTTATATTTATTTGATGTAGATATACAGGGTGATTCATTAAGAATGGGAAACACGGAAACTGGGATACTACAGGTCAAATGGTGGCCATTGGCGCAAGACTACTTTATCCGAATGTCGATATTTTTGTGACATAAAATTGAGCTCAAAATCTAAAACAGCATTCAGTTCTGCATGCATTTAGTATTCCTGTTTATATCGTGTTTTTATATGTAGATATTTTGGTCCGTTTACGCAAAAAATGGATGCAATGTTCAACAACAGCAGTTTGCACTAGTAGCCAATATTTCAGAGACAATATATCATCTTTTTTCTATAGAAGCAAGTACAACATGACTAAAAGTTTTGTATATTGTGTGACACGTCCAGGACTAAATAGCTGTTGTAAATTTGAAAATGCCCAATCACAACCAGTTTGCCAATCAAGAAATAAGAGACATAATAGGTCTTTTTGCACAAGAAAATTTCTGTCTTGTGCAAAGTCTCCCTAAAAAGCATTTCTGTTGAGCCGCAAGAGGAAGTTATATTTAGAGTTGAAATGAGCTGAAAATCCAGTCACACGTACTCGTATTGAAGTACTGAAAAAGGCGTAACTCAGCTCACAGTTTAGGGAATTTCGAAAAGACAAAAACTACATTCATTTTGTTTTACACCTGTACAGAATTTGCCTCGTTTACGTTATGCCCGTTTTCTACAAGATCAGCAAACCAGGGATGGAACTTTCTTAGAGAAACTTTTGTTAACCGATGAGGCGACATTTCCAATGTTTATCAGTATCTTGAATCAATCGATGGAAGAAGTGTGTGTAAAAATTGGACTGGAGAAATAAAAACAGCAATATGTGGATTAAACTCTATAGTTTATGAGTTTATATCATACTCCGTAACCTCAGTAACACTCACTAAACTTTTCACAAGTTTTACTGTCTTATATCGTATTTTAGCATCCGATAATACATTTGGAAAATTCACCTACGTATTATAATGCGTATTTTAAAAACCTCAAATGTATCATCAATAACATTTTGGATTTGTTTTGTGTGGAAATAATTGCTGACTTTCAAATTTTGTGTACCAGGTGAGCAAATAAAAAGTGCAATATTTTTGAAGCAAAACACGGGATCAGAAGGACCTTGATTTGCTGCTAGACATAATTGTCGCTTTTAACGTTCATCAGAATAAATATAAAACTAAAATCTCTCGTTTTGATTACCGTTAATATTGACGAAATAACACCTTGCAATGTGTTTATTGAAACGTTACATTTTATTAAAATGATAGGTACCTACTTAATAAAAATTTTGGTACAAAGAAATATTTTATTCATTTATGTGCCTCTTACTGCGTCATTCAACCCAGATATCCCCGGCCAATTTTTCATAATTTTTAAACATTTGATTGATTACACTACGCAGTTTTGCACCTCGATATTCTTGTTTTCCACGCCGGGTTTTCCGTGCTGGTATAGTAATGTGTGCTTGCACACCACGTGTGAAAAATCATTTCAATTCACTTAAAAAACTTTGGATTTACTGTTGACCTTGCAACTAAAATTTAAAATAATAGAGATAATTTGCCATCATCACTGAAGCCTTGAGAACTGCATTTTAAGATGCGTCTTTTATTTAATGTCGTTTGCCTATGTCGGTATGTAAAACGGTCTCCAAAAATTAACTTAAAAGTCGTGTAAACCCGTCACAAAAAGCAATTTATTTATTTTAACGGTAACATCAGAATGTCCGCTGATCGAGTATCCTAATAATTGTAACACATGCGGATGGTACCAAAATGAAAGTTTTATGCACGTTACGAAAGGTGCAATCAAATATACTCTTATCACGTACAACTAGAATTACGTAAGCCAAGCAATAGGTATCTTCCTATTAGAATATCTATAATAAATTTGAATGCCCTCATTATCAGTTTTAGCAGTATAAGCGATTTTCTAAACTGAGGAGCGGGTTATATGCTATACCGAGTGATTCAACTGGTGTTATTCCCTTTAAGGGGTCACTAGGACTTACTTTCTGGAGGAAGTTAGCCCTTTAAGACGAAATTTGCTTGGTTTATACAAATTTTCTATTTGGATTAATTAGGTGTCTATTAATTTATGTTAAAACCACAGCAGGAAGCATGCCAGGCAGATGTTATTAACAATCATGTCAACCCCGATGCCGTTGATATCAACGGTAGATCTGTGGGTAGTTTTTAAATTGTGGTCTTCGACGTTTTAAATGTTTAACGATTTCGGCAAATGCAGACGCTTTTATAGTTTTTGGGGACACCGAATGTGTATCACAAGCAAACACATTCTCGTGAGAAAGCTGCAGTGGCCGAAATCTGCGAAAGATTTCACAGTTCAATTGCTGATTGCTGAAATCATATGTAAAGACGCACACCATGTAATCCAATTAAAGCCCATCCAAGTTCGATATATAAATTACTGAGGAAACATATAAAGATATCTTCCCAAACCAAGAACTACTTTTTGGAGGCAATAAAATTATCTCGTCTATCCTCTATTTTTAAAATATTTTATTTTGTAATAGAGTGCTTATAAAATATCCACAACGGGTGAGTTATTTTATTGGTCTGCCCGATCGTTAGGTTTGACGCCGTGCAATTTCTATTGATCGGTTACGTGAAAAATGTTTATGTTACACCAACGACCCAAATGATATGAAGCAAAGAATTATGTATGTATTTAATGAAATTTCCAAGCAAACACATTATTACATTTGCGCACCTAAAGTTTCTTTTGAAAGTTAGTTAAATAAGTTTAAGTTTACGAAACTACATGCATAGTAAAATACAAGAAAAAAATTGAGAATATGGATTTTTTAGAAGTTTGAATGAAAACAAGCAAGAGGCTATTTAAAAAATATGTATTGCTGTACTTTGTACCGCTGTTATGAGCAACCTTGTGTGATGCTTTGCTTTTGAGAAAACTAGTAAACCTGCACACATCGAATTTTTATTTCAAACTAATTTTGAATTTCCATATCGTCTAAGAATATGAGAGTGTTGCCTTTCGTAAACACCCTGTATCCTTTGTAACGTGGTGCACCCATAATGCGCAACATATTTTTTCTCAATTAATAGCAGTATGAAATGTTTAATTAATTTGCTTTTTGTCGGTCTTTAATTGTTAAAATCGGAATTGGCTGATTTGCGTCTAAAATTTACTTTGTTATATTATATACTTCATGTACCTATTTCCTAATCCAAAAATTTGAAAAATTGCAATCTCCGAAAAGACCAATTTTGTGGGATTCATAGAGCAAACGTTAAGCATACCATGAAGCCGGCATTAAAAAAGATTACACTTTTTCTTTCACACTGAATAAGAATTAAGTAAGCAAATAAGGTATGCGTTACAATTAGATCAAATTGGTGAAAGTTGAAATGTTGTATAAATGTGAATTTTGTGCTGCCGTAACAGACGGATGATTTAACGTAATTATCGCTGTACCTCGATAAATAATCATGACGACCCTTGAAAAACTATCTAATAATAATCTAAACCGGATTTCATGGCTAGAACATATTGAATACTAGTGGAGCTTCATTAGGCTTACTGGATTTTTAATACCAGTATAACGGATTCATTACGACACGTTGAAAACATCTAAATGGCCTAAGGACAACAAATGAAAGTGAACTCATAGAAAGTGTATGAAGTGCGGCAAAAAGTATTACAGATCGCTAGATAGTTTGCAAAGTTATTTCGGGATAGTGCTAATTCATGAAGTATTTTACATTTTTACGTCTTTATAGCTAGTCCCATTTAGTGTTAATTACATGCTTTGAGTGACGTTCATAATTGATAGTAAATATAGAAAATGTACCAAATTTAAAAATGTGTTATAACTGCATGGTTCTGAGGTGGTTTGAGTAGCTCAGTGGCCAAGTGCGAAGAAAAGCAGGCTTGCGAGGTGCGGCCAGCAATCTGCCGCATACAAATCAAGCAATTTGCTCAAAGAACAGGGGAAGGAGCAAAACTTAATATTTTTCAGCAAGTTTTACAAAAATTTGAAAACGATTATAATTACGGGTAGCTACCGGGTTCCATTAAAAGCACATCAAAAGAGAGATATGTGCCTTGTCGGAGACAAACAAAAGCATTTTCGAGATATACAGTTCATTTTCATATATACCGGAAAATTAAGGGAAAAAGCACCGTAGGTATACTATGTTTAAGTGATAAATCGCGGCAAGCTACATTTAGGTTTACCTAAACAACTAAAACACAAGCAATAATAAAGAATAAATCGCAAGACATGTTATTACAAATGGATATATTTACTACCGACTATAGAGGGTCGCACGTAAGGACCTGAAGATAAATAGCAGACCCGCGAAGTCATTGAAGAAAGAAATATTAAAAAGCAGCTGCTAATGAGAGAAAAAATTAACGTTTAATCCATTGCGGATTATTCCAAAAAATACCTTCAAGATCACTGAAACAAAGAGGCGAAATTAAGAACCTGAAAGATGATGAGAAACAAAAACCGATCTTCAAATCATTCTTCTTTACTACAAAGTCATCGTACTTTGCTACATAGTTATCAGAGTATTTTGAATGAATCCTTATTAGATATGGAATGAGAATTTAACGGGCAACAGA